GTGTCCCCCTACAGGCGGATTTGACAACAAAAATATATCAAACAAAACTTCTCAAACATGGTTGAACAAATCGTTCCCTGACGATGTTTTGACTACTTTTGAATTCTCCCCCTGGAGAGGGACCGGCCCGACTTCAGATTTGGTCCTTAAGTACGATGAGAACCACACAGCCACAGCGGGCGGTGGCCCCAGGGGGGCCGACTGTCTGTAGATCCACCGCCTGCCGAGTGCCCCGACGATCGCACCCCCGCGCAGTGGTTGTGGACAAGCTCCCGACTCGGATAGTCTCGGGGTCGGGCAAGAGGGGGGCGTCCAAGAGGGGGAGGTGCAAATCATGACCGGCGGCACGTGCGCGGCCCAGGGGGGGGGGGGCTGGGGACGTAATGAAATAAGAAGAGGCGCCATGAGATCTAAGGACATATCATGGCCACCGCCATGATATCCACCCCCCCTTAGTCATCACCCCCCCTTTGCCGACCCCGATATTCGGGCCACACTGTCCACAATGGCAGCCCAACCGAGAGGATTGATTATTGAGCCATGGATCTGTCGCAGCTTGCCTGTTGCAATGGCCCTCTGCTGGCAGTCCGACGGCTCGGAGCAGGCCTCTTGGGTGCAAGAGAAACCCTGGGTTTAGGTCAGGCGCGCCTTCCTACAGGAGGACTTTGGACGGAAAATTGAAAAAATAAGACAGAGGGCCCCAAGACGGCCCAAGAGGTCTCCAAGACGGCCCAACAGGGCCCCTAGAGCGCCCCAAGAGCGGCCCCAGAGGGGGAGCACGAAACAACATTTCGAGCCCTCGGTCCTGAGAGGCCCCCAGGAAGCCCAAGAGGCCCTTATATAAGAGGCCCCAAGAGGCCCCCAAGAGCCCTGAGGAGGCCCCCAAGACGCCCCCAAGAGGCCCCCAAGACGCTCTCAGAGGCCCCCAAGAAGCCTCTTGGAGGCCCTCAGGGGCCCCCAAGAGGCCTCCACGGGCCGGAGGAATGAGCGAGGCGATTCAATAAAAAAGAATCAGACATGCTCAAACTTTATCAAACATAATCGAAACATTGCCCCCAGACTATGACTCAAAATCCGTTATTAATCGTCCCCAGGGACGGTTTTTGAAGGCGCCTTTTTTTGTGACTGCGGGGGTCCGGTTTATTGGGGCGCTTTCTTTGGATTGGAGCCTGTAAGGGGTCCGGTTTATCAGGGCGCCCAGTCGAAGAGGGGGGGCTGGAATATCAGGTCGCATTTGGAGGGGGATCTGGTTTTTTGTTGGGGGGGGGGGCGATGAAGAAGGGATTTGGAATATTTGCATCTCTCTGACCTTCCCCCCTTGCAGAGGGCTGCGCGACCCCATGCATCTGGAGTTTGAAATCGTCGCACCTCACAAAAACAGGGCTAGGATCGGGATAAATCGATCCAGAGCGTTCCGGAGCGCTCTCAGAGCGTTCCGGAACGCTCTGGAGCGGCCGCGGCGCCCAATACATCCTCCAAACCCGCCGATTCTCAGAGATTTCGAGTTATCCCGATCCGATTTTGTCCCGATCTTCGCGTCGTTTAACCCTGCCTCCCCCCCGGGGCAGGCGCGACCTCTGGCGTGCGCGCCCCCGGGGGGGCAGGCCCGCTCCGAGCGCGCAGGCCACTGCTGCAGTCCTCGGCCGGGCCTAAAGGAGCGATGGATGAGGAGTGGAGCCGCGCTGCTTCCCAGGGAGTGGCGGGCAAGGAACGATTATGACCACCTACCAGACCACCCCAACCCAACCCGAAGGCCCGAATTTCGGGTTGGGGGGGGTACGGGCTCCATATGTGTTTTCTCGAAGTTCCCCGACCCCCCCCACACTGGAAATGGAGGTCAATTTGAAGCCTTCGGGTTGGGTTGGGGTGGTTTGGTGGGTGGTGAAAGGAGCGATGGATGAGGAGTGGAGCCGCGCTGCTTCCCAGGGAGTGGCGGGCAAGGAACGATTCGTACCAACGAAAACGTGCAAGGACTTCTCCGAGGTGTGACGCGTAAGGCACGACAGAGAGCACAAAGACGCAGACAAAAACTGTAAAATCACGCACGCAGGCCAAAGGAACGACCGAGCCCCTTTTGACAAAGCACGTGTTCCTTACTCAAGCCGCTCACTGTAATGGGACCCCGGTGTGCCCGCACCTGGGCAAGCCGAAAAGGATCGATACCGCTACTCCCCGGGCCTCTGCGGGAGGAGGAGGAGGAGGAGGAGGAGGAGGAGGAGGAGGACGTTCTGACCAGAACTGCACCGCGAATCCAGCGGCGGCGGCGAGGGCACCCCCAGGAGGCCCGTACAGGGCGAAAGCGAGGGGAGCGCAGGGGCAGGGGCACCTCTGGAGGGGCCCGGGGACACACCAAGAAATGCTCCCGAATCCCAGGATTCCCCCAACCACTTTCCTGGGAATCGGCTTCGGCTGGTGTCTGTGTATGTCTTCTCCCCTTCTGAAGCTTCCCCTCCTGGGAACACCAGAGGTCGCTCCGGCGACAGGTCGCTCTCACGCTTGA